CATGTGCTTTTCATTTGCCGCGAAAATGGCGGCAGATACCAATCAGTTGAAGGAATTACGTGAATCTTTGCGTGCGGGGAATGAAGATTCAAGCATGGTGTTGTTTGTCGGCAGCGAAAAGCGTTGAGGAAAGCAAATCGAAAATAAAGAACAGTATTTCGAAGAAGTAGAAAGGGAAAATACGCAAGGACCGTGTTTGTCTCACAATGAAAACCATGGACTAGAAACGTTTTATGCTTCGCTTCATTTAAAATGACTATGGAGACAACCATCACCTTCGGACCAGAGACATATCACCTGAGAACAACAGTAGCTTTCTGTAACTAAGTGTTACTCGTGTTGTTTTTAATTGTTTTCGCTCTTCAATTGTGACCTTTCTTGCATGCGAATTAACGTATAAAATCTTGTTCCTGTGTAAGTTATATATAAAATAAGTTGGTGACCAAAATTTATGATCTTGCGACCAAAATTTTTCCATTAGTCGTCAGCTGGCTCCCGAACGAAAAAGTTAATTTCGAGCCTGGCAAAGGGTATGGTTTTTCAGCTGTTTTGATCGTAAATAGGGTATTGATTTTAGCTGATTTTAGCCATTTTGGTCATAAATAGGGTATGGATTTTGCACTCTAGCCTTGAAATGGGTATGTTTTTAAGAAGAAGCCACTTTTTCATCATTATTGAAAAGAAGATCAACAAAAGCCCTTCACAAATTATGTTAACGGTTATTTAACATTGGTCTGAACTAGGGAACTAATTGTAATGCAGGTCTGAAACAGGGTTTTGATTTAAGGGTCAGGTCATAAATAGGGTTTTGAATTTATGGCAGTTTTTGGTCATAAATAGGTTATGGAATATGGCAGATTTTGGTCATAAATAGTTTAAGGGTTTTGGGAAGCGGGCTACACACCGCCGCCCAATTTTTCCGTGTGTACCCCCCCAGGTGTGCACAGGACCATGGACAGTACCCAATTGTCACTCTTATACAGGGCAGGAAAAATTTCAGATCTGATTGCCTGCGGCAGGTATCTTTTGCTTTTGGGCAAGTGAAAATGGAAGTCTGGTGGGCAAGTGAAATTAGCCTCAGTAGTCTTATTAGTGATAATTTCCAATCAAAACCAATTTCAAAACTTAAGACTGCAAGATTAGCAAAACAAAGAGTTGAAAGCTGGATTAATCAAAAATATCCAAGCATACTTGATTATAGACAGTACCTAGAGTAAATGATGTAGCTGATAAGCATGAACATTGCGCACCTATTGGGCAATAGTAATTCAATTAGTGTGGGCAACTGAAAAGTGAAATGCACTGGCTCACTGGGCAACTGGATTTCAAAATTTATTTCCTTCCAGGCTGTAATAAGAAACTTACATTTGCACAAATGACTGTCACCTGAAGCTGACTGTGTTGTTTATCATAATGAACATCAAACTCTATTGTTCCCAAACCTGCCAAAATAGGAACAAGAAACAAGATTATATATTTAAGCTTATTCACTCACTTGATCACACTGTGTCAAATTGTACTGACAGAGATGAACACTGACCAAACTGAACACTCAGTCTGACTCAGTTAAAGTAAAACTATTTAACTGGTACTTAATTAACACTCTCTACATTCCACATTGTAGAGTTTGTAATCACTTGCAATGAGACTTTCACACACATTCTTAGTATATAAAAAACTCCTAAGAATCCCACTTTTGGAATTTGAAAATGATGACAGAATGAGTCATTGAAATGTCATTTGAAATTATTATCGCTGATTTTTATTCTTAATATAATCAAATAAACATTGCAATTTGAAAGTCTGGTCTGATTCAAAATGGATCAAACTTCAAACTAGAACTCTACCCTTGTTCTAACTTAAAGGCATATGGATGAAGACCTCAGGTAAAATCAATTTTACATTTGAATGACAGGTATTGAGCAGTGTGGTACATGTTAATTATGCAAGTGAATGTATGAAAAGATCATATATTGAGATTTATTTGAACTATGGAGAAAGATGTAAAGTTATGTGCTCAACTTATGCAGTTGTGAAAATAAAGCGTTTAAAAAATGAGGTTTAAATAGTATTCGAACTCTTGAATGACTAGTGCAGCACTAATAAAATAACGGTGAGCTATCAGGCCACCTGGGAGCTGTTGACCCCTGCAGGGGGGTGGGGGTTCCCCTATAAAAAAACACAGGTGCTGGTCAAAAATTTTGAAACAAACCCCTAAGAAGTACCAAGATTCTGTTTTGTGGGTGTGGCTTGAAATTTTTTTCACCCCTAAGAGGTTCCAGTTCTAAACCGACACATTAAGTCCTGTAGTTATATTTTTTTCAGCTCAGTACTCTGAAAGCTTCTGCTGTGGACCTTTTGAGGCTAAACACCCTAAGAGGATTAAGAGGTATCAAAACTGCTTTTTTTAACCCTTGAAGGCACACCAAGCTCCTCCATCCTTTCATATGGGAGTTTCCCACCCCCCTCTTAAGGGGCTGTTAAGGTTGTGAGTTCCTAATATACCTCTAGATGGTGAAGAATACAAATGAATGCAAGTAAATGACAGATCATATACTAAATTAATGATATGAACCATGGCGAGAGATGTAAAGACATGAGTGATCACGATAACAGTTGTCGAGGAAAAGGTTGTTGTTATTCATTGTGGTAGATGCAATAATAAAGTGTATTATTGTTTGTCTCATGATGTTGTCACTTGAGATGTAGATCGCGACGTTTCGTCTGCTTACTGCTAGTCTTCTTCAGGTGATAAGGTCGACTGATTGCACAGTATCATTTATATCACAAAGGTTGGCTGTGATTGGTGCATTTTGATCCTCCTATTGTTCCATTGTTCCGGCGAGTAGCTGTTCCCTCAGTGGTCCGCTGTTGTACCATTGTCCTGTTGTTGTGTTTCTTGATCGTGGGTATCCATGCTTCAGGAATTTCAATTCCACTATCCCTGGGATAGCCGGAACAATGGAACAATAGGAGGATCGAAATGCGCTAATCACAGCCGACCTTTGTGATATAAATGATACTGTGCAATCAGTCGACCTTATCGCCTGAGGAAGACTAGCAGTAAGCAGTCAAAACGTCGCAATCTACATCTCAAGTGACTACATCGCGAGACAAACGATAATACACTTTATTATTGATAACAGTTGTGTACATAACGTAATGAAACCTGAAAAAAAAATCAGGATTGAACAATTAACAGGATTCATAGCCTTGACAAACGTGCAGGGTTCAAATCCTGTTCAAGACTGAATTTTTTCAAACTTAATAAGTTGTGTATGTAACTGTGATGATCATTCATGTCTTTACAATGTTTATTACGCATACAAGGTGGTCCTAACTTTCTGCAAATGAAACTCCGGGAGGTGACCATGCAAATGACAATCTTGTCCCTAGAATTCGCTATTCTTTTAGTCAGCACCAAATGGAATGTGGACTCTGACCAGTAATGATGCATGGACTTAAATAAGCTTTAGCTTAATGCTGATTAGCTGAAAATCCAAAATGAGCACTTTAAGGCATGCTCAAAAACTCGGGACTGGTCAAAGTCTGTGTTTTTGGTGCTGAGCAAAAGAAAAGTGGCCTTTGGGGACAACATTGGCCAAATGAAAGATATAATTGAGCAGTATTTTCAAGTGGTACTGTTTACATTTATGTCCAATGCAAGGTGATACTATACATATAGCGTTTAAGTGCAAAAATAAACCTACTGTGTGGCTTACCAGCATCCCCAGTATCCTTAGGCACAGCAGCCTCAGACTCTTTAAATGTCCTCACCAGTTCATCAATGTCTTCTTCTTCTGTGTCTTGCGTTTTAACCAGTGGCTTAGCTCTACCATCAACTTCGTCTCTCCTGTCTGGTACCGTAGAATTGACACTTCCTGTAAAACTACCACTTTTTTCCCTTTTGGGTGACTCTGCCCTTGTATGACTGCTATCTGGTGCTAAAAATCAGAAGGGAAAAAGAGTAAAATCTTAGAAGCCAAGTAAACCTCTATATAGTCAGCTACTGGAAGAATCTACCATGAATGAACTGAAGGAAATTTCATCTAAACTGATAATTAACTTTCAACAATTTTAAGCACTTACAGAGCTGGCCATTCGTGGTTTGAAGTGAACTTGAATTTTGGCTGATTTCAGATGGCCGACGCTGCTTTTCATCTTGTGTCATCGCAAGAGTTCTCTTGCGGAATGGAGGAGGAGTGTCTATGCTTTCTAATATGCTGCTTCCAGGCATTGACATTTCCGCTGATCTCCGATTTGTGAAGGATACTGGGTCCTGGGAAGATCTACCTCTGTTTGAATGTGTGTACTCTTTAGAATGTTCAAACAACATTTCATCTGAGGAGCTGCTAGACTCTTCCTCCTCTGAGTAGCTTTCTTCTCTGATATCATCATCCAAATTATCTGTACATTAATATTTTAACAGTCAATTGCAAATAATATTGTTAAGACCTCTTGCTATTTGTTATTGAGTCTTAGAGGTACCAGCATATAATTTTTCCTCAAAATACATCTATCATAATTTTTTCTGCTTATAATTCTTTTATTTATTTTTACAATAAAATTCTTATTAATTAAAGTTCTTTACAGCAGCATCTAATGCCACACGTTTTGCGAATTGTTTCATATGGGAACTCAACAGATCTATAACAAGAAAATCAAGAGAATCACAGAAAAATGCTGACACAATTGGACAGATTGATGCATTGCGATTAACACTGCACACTTATTTTGCATCAACACTCGCATTTGTAGCCCAATCAATTCAATGGAATGTCAGGGGGCCATTTCGGCATTCACCAACTTCTGTGCCTTAGGAAAGGACCGATTAAAGCAAAACAGGATATAATTTTACCAAATTTACGTTTCGTATTTAGTAGAAATCTACAAACATTCTATCGTGAATGCTGTTCCCTGATTGGCTACACTACTCACTATCGATTCTGTTGTAGATAGTGAGAAGCCTAGCAGAATGCACTTGCTAACAACTCTCAGCCACTTATTAATGTTTTTGAACTGTCTGTGAAGAGAATATAGATTAAAGTTTTGAACGACAAGTAGATTTATACTAATTAAAAACAATAATTATTCACTCTATTTGTGATTATAGACTTAGGCTGTGCATGCTCTTGTCAGTTATCACGCGAGAAAAATCTCCAGCTGATATTATCTAACTGATAAATAGTTTGCGGGGATTTCCCTTGAAACAGCATGTGTACAGTTTTATTCTGGGAGACACCTGCAAAGGTTTGGAGTATTATCTTAACATTAACCATCGATCACCTTTTGATTTAGAGTAACTTGTCCATGTGCTGTTGTACTTATAATTTGATATGTCAGAGCTATTTGAAGCAGTTGTGTCCTGCAAATCAACCATGAGTCTTGTGTTAATTTTTTTTACTGTCTTTAAATCCATAACTTTTAAGATACTAACAGTAAAATAATTATCATGGAAACATGTCTGAGCAAAATTTTTCTTTAACTTATTTGTTTCAATCTATGATTCATAATTTCTAGTAATGAGAACTCTGCAAACTCACTTTTCTGTTGCTGGATACTCGGCTTCTTGCTTCAGGGTATGTGTATTTGGGTATAGCTTTAAAAAACCAAGCACCAGTTCTTTTCCATAGCTACAGTAAAACAAAATAACAAGATTTGAAATTGACCCAGACTTATTACCAGAAATTTATAATAACCCCTCCCATGCATACCAAACTAATAACTAAAGAACACTTCCAACAGTCTATTACAACAAGTTTATCTAAATTAGTGATTAGTACCACATTTCTCTAATAAGACCCTTCCTCGTCTCTATAAATAGCCTGTGAGTAGGTTCTGGCTGGAAGAGTCTGATTGCTGTGGGAAGGACTGAGAAGGAGCTGGTTGAGACTGAAGTGGCTGAGGGGGCTTGGGGTGGGGGTTGGGGTGTCAGGGCCTATAGACAAAGGTTTTCTCTCCCTTCCCTCTAATCCCCCTCCTAGCTCCTTCTTCCCATCTTTTCTCTTCACCCATCCTTGACTAGAGAACCTATTCACAGGCTACATCTCTATTAACTCCTCTCTCCTGAAAAGATCTTGGAAAGACTGACAATTGAAAACAGGGTTGTGAATATACAGCCTCTGCGGTAATGGAAATGCTACAGTGGTGTTGGGATTTACCTCTCTGTGTTCACTGCACAACATACACAGCCATATAACATCACCATCGCTATCAAGAGTATCCAGGCCACACTTCTGACAAACGTACTGAAATAAATATAAATAATGGTAATTGAACTGAGTGGAGTGCAATTTGGTCTGAAATCATACGCGTGATTTCAAAATCGNCACCCAGGTGTATAAATGGGTACCGGTAAATTTAATGCTGGGGGTAACCTTGCGATGGACTAGCATCCCATCAAGTGGAGAAGAAATACGCCTAGTTGCTTTATGCTATAGAAACCAGGATAAGTTCCAGCCTGACAGACCATTTGACCTATTCCACCAAAACAAATTTCAATTGTACTCTCAATATCTTCCAAAAAGAGGCATCACCAATCCCCATACATATGCAAATTTATTTTATGGCTAGCTCCATGAGTGGGCAAGATGAACCAAATGCTGCACTGTGATTGGCTACTCGAGCAGGCAAGATAGAGCTATCTTGTTGCTCAGGACTACCTCCTGTGTCCCACAAGAAAAAAAATCTCCTAAAAGCCACGAGGTCAAGATGGCTGGATATTGGCCTTGTTCTTTTTTTTTGCGAGTTTATGGACCTTGCCTCCAACTCAGTCCATAAACACAACATCTGAGTATATATGTAAAGTGTGCAATATTTCCCCCAGAAAAGAAAACTTCTCTTTTTTTCTCACATTACACTAGCAATCCATTTTTTAATTTACATCACATTTAGCAATTAGCCATGCAAATACCTCTACTCTTTGTCTCTCTTTCAATGATTGATTTTGACGTTCAGTCTTTTTTTAAGTAATTGCTGTAGCATTGCTGATCAATGTTGTTGTAGATTATCCAAATCAATAAGTAAATAAATGTACTTAGAGTTAAGTATTGGGTAGCATTTTGGGAGAACACCATTGTATTGTAAGTAATGTTTTTAATTGTACGTTTCATGTGAAAGTATCTCATTATAAGCAGTCTAAGTATTGTACGACAGGGTTGTATCTAGTAACACGCCAACCGAGGCACTTGCCTCAGCAAAAATTTGGAATTTTTTTTTATTTTTTCAAGTTTCCATAATAGGCTTAATGCAATAAAAGAAATAATTGAATTATATACAAGAAACAGTTTCTTTTTTAAGAATTTTAGTCTGGCTTAAAGGTCATGTAAGAACAGAGCACAGTATCTTAAGTAGTGAGAGTACCCAGTATTGATATGTAAATAATAGCACTTGTACTTAGCAAATCATGTTATAAGTATTTTTCTTTCTTTTGTTGGAATAAATAAATATCACAAAAAAGAGGTAATATGGTAATTCAAACTTATGAGAGCCTTGATAATCATGAAAATGACAAAATTTAATTATACATGAAGACTGGTTGTCCTTGGGCGGGAAGGATTCAGTGACCTTTCAATTCAGTTAGTAAGGGTTAAAGGCCAGTTCAAGCTTAGAAATGAAAAACACAAGCTCACCGGGAAAAGTCAAGGCTGTTTTATCGAAATAAAGCACTGCATTTAATTTACAGAGATCATTAAGTCCAGTCCTATATAAAAGTTTTTTTGTTACGAATAACTGAGGTAAGTCTATTAGATGTCTGGATACAATCAATTGTCTTCTAATTAGCCTAACAGATCAAAATGGTCAGAACCAACCAATCAAACATTAGCTAGCAGGTATTGATCATTAGAAAAATATATCAATTCACTAATACTCCAACAAGCATCTTTATTTCAAGTGCTTATGGGGAGGCAGTTCTCAAAAAATATAACTACCAGAAACGTTCATTATGTACTGCGATTATCATTATTGACCGCAATGCACTGAAACGCTTTTTGACCAAAAGAAAACAAATTATACTCAATGTAAACATCAATTGAATGCAAATCACGGCAGCCAAAGTGTTAAATTTTAATGTAGAATATATATTACATTTACATTTTCTTTCATTCCGCACACAAAAAAAACTCAACCTCAGGGATCTCTAATGATGTTTTAGTTCGGCTTAATATTTCTTACCCGATCCTCTCTTCTTCGACTTGACGAATTCTATCAGCGCGCTCCAAAACATTTCTGATGATCTCTTGTTCGTTGTCAGTGATATCTGTCTTTCTGCCAGTCTTCCTTGCGGGCCCACTTGAATGAAAAGACCATCCCGAATTTAGCCTAAAATGAGGTGAAAAATAACCCTCACTAACGATGTACTTCAAGCTAGTGCATTTATCTATCAGCTTACTCTTAATTAGCATCCAAAAGTTCACAAAATTACAACGTAAGCTTATTTAATCTTGCAAACTGAAAGAGGATAAAGAATCAAGCCTGATTGAAAATAGAACGATCAACCAGAGAGAAAAAAGCAATGTACTAACAGCAAATTCTCCAAAGACTTGGGCCATCTCGTACGAGTTTTCTTAAAAAATCTTTTCAAGACTTTCTTGGGACGGAAACACATCGTGTTTTCATGGCCAAACAAAGCGTTGTGTACAATCGACCACTCGCAGGTATCTCAAAACCAAACTGGCAACACGCACAGAAAAAGCAGAAAGAGATGATAAGAATGGCTGTAAAAACCAGGTGTTTGCGGCTAAAACAATTTTGAATTATTTAGGAACCGGAAACAGAACATTCATTCGCTGTTCTGTTCTGTTCTGTTCTGTTCTGTTCTGTTCTGTTCGCTGTGCGTAAGATAACAAAACAACCAGATTTCCCTCTATAGATATGGTAAATAATTCTGTCACGGTACGTACTAGCTAAAGTTAACTCACTTCGCTCTTAAGTTCAATTGCCGATCGTTCGGGCAAACCCATCGTTGTTCTTCTTCACTGGCTAATTCTCCCATGTCTGATTCTTTTCTCGAGGAAAATCAGCAAAGCTAACATTAAGTTGGAGCGGCGGGAAAATCTTGCGTCGTCTTCATCGCTCGACAGCCTGCGTCGAGTCAAATGAACAGTTCACTTCCTGAAGTGGGTGTGCAAATTTACTCAACGGGGGAGAAAAATCACGCCAGCAATAAACACAGAGCAACTTGAATTTTCTCCACAGCAATGCTTGAAACCATTAAAATCTGTGCAAAATCTCGTTACCTCCCACTTACACTCGAAAGTCAAACAATCCAGCACAGTACGAAAGTGTTTTCCATGACTCCGTGTACCACGTGATCGAACAATCTATGAATTAATATTTTCATTTATAACTGATTAATAATTCTAGGCAGGCATGAGCTCAAAATGGCTGCGATGTGTTTATCAAAAGAGCAGTGCCGAGGTTAGACTGATCTGTTTTCCTTGGGCTGGAGGTGGAGCGGCATTCTATGCAAACTGGGGAAAGAAGTTTGCTGGCGAGATTGAAGGTTTGATGCTCTTTTATTGTTGGAGATTCCAGAACCGTTTGTTTCAGCAGAGATAAGCGAATGTCAGATATGTTTTGGATGTTTTGACGGCTTGTCTTTGATCTAATAATCATGCGTTAATGTCGGTATTTAGAAAGCAATTGAAAATCCATTAGTTTGCCGTCTGATCGACTCAGTTAAAGATGTTGAATGGAGATTAGTATAGAACAGGAAGTTGATCTGAAATTTGCATGGGAGGCAAGGAGGAGAGCAGAATTTTAAAACGAGTATATAAATATTCAGAGCGGAGGAAGTCGATCCTGGTGTTTTCTTAAGGCGATTAGACCTGAAAACAAGATCTCTTTCATAATCTTTAATACACTGATGCTTTAAATAATAGCTATATACTCAAAGAAGCCAGAGTCCAATTCCCCACCCCCAGGCACCTAGTAAAATGTCAAATTCCTTCCCCTAGGGTAACCTATTTCTGTCAGAGACACACCTTAATAATTGATGAGGGGTTTTACATAACTTACAAATAGTGTTTCAAATAGTTTTCTTTCGCTCACATCATGATGAACAGAAAAGCAGAGAATTCCCTTGCGCATGGTGACTTCCAGGATGGCAGAAACTCATTTCCAGGTCTTCTCTGTATTTTAAGATGGTGGCCATGTACAATTCCCGACCCTCTGGAACAACACCTAAGTGTCAAAATCCCTACCCAAGGGGAGGCTTGCCAAGTCAATTTCCCCTGGTTAGTCCACCCCTCATGTGTCTTTTAGGAGTCAAATAAACTTGAGCCATGCCCAGGTTGATCTCCTGTTTGGGTCAAATTCAGTTTTATCCAGCATCCCATGCCCTTTCACATGGGATTTATTATCTCTCCATGGTTCAGTCCTGTTTCTATCTATTATCAATATTTTTAACATATATTAGTTTGTTGTTTTACTGAGGAATCAGTTGTTTATGATGTTACCAGAACATTTAAAGTATCTGTGAACTCCTA